GTCTGCAGAAATCCTTTTTCAAGTTTTAAACACGCCTCATATCATTGTGACAGTTTGCAACTATCTGTGTTGTGAGCGTTTGTGCTGTCAGTCAAACCTCTGAATGAGACGTGCAAAGCCTGAGCATTCACTTTTCCATCTTTGTGTATATGCTGCAGTGAAAATCCACTAACACGCTGATTAACTACACAAATTCTTCAAAAAGCAATGTAAAGTCGCAACAGAGAGAAAAATGTATTTTTTTGGTTCGTTTTTTGGGTTTGTTTGATTGTTTTTTTCAGTATAAAAGATCTTTAAAAAGAAAAAAAAATCTAGTTCCAGAAATGCATGTGCTATGTGCATGCCACACCGTGGGTTAAAAGTCATCTTCAGGACAGAAAAGAAAAAGCACATTAAATAATTCAGAGAGATAAGAAAAAAAGATATATAAATAGATAGATGTTTTTAAAAAATAAAAAAAAGCAATGTTTCTTTTTTCTTCTATTTTTGAAAACAAAAAAGGCAAAAAATAAAAAAAAATTGACAATGAAAACAGAAGAGACTTTGGTAAATGTCAAAGTCTTGTTTCTTTTCTTTATTTTCATGGGTTGAGACACATTGCATTCAAGTTCAGGACACCGCAAAAAAAAAAAAGAAAAAACTGTTTTCATGAAAAAAAGAGAGAAAATAACAGTTCAGATGACGGTGTATTCTCCTTTCTATTCATGTAAGGATCAGGGGGTGCAGAAGCTAGCCAAATCTGTTGATGTTCTCGTTCTAACTGGCTGTTTGACCTTTGATCCTTCACTCACATCCTCTTTATTTTCTCCCTCTCTAACTCTTGTCTCTCTCACGCTCTAACCTTTCTCACTCTCGGCCAGTCTCACCGCTATTTCTACCAGTGCATTTTGTAATTCCAAACAGATCTCTTCCTAAAGAATAAAATCCAGAGAGAATGCACATGACTTTGTCTTTTTTCTGCAGTCGTATTTTACTTTATATATTTAGCTGAAATGATTTTCTGTTTGACAAAGGCAGCTGTTTTCAGGGTGTGCTGCGTTCAGGATGAACAAAGCGAGGTTTATGTTTAGGAACATTTGGAAGTCATATTGTCAGGAATATTCCAGCTGCAGGTAGCTAATCAAATTCTGAAATTCACTGATATTTCATTTATAAATCATCTAATCTGCTTATATAAACATATATCTTAAAGGTATAGAGGACAATATTTTATTTCCAGGTGATCATCAAAACAAGTGGTCCTCCTAATTGTCAATCATTTTGGTGATACAGTATGTTTACCTAAGGCTGTCCTACACGCTCGCCAACAGTTAGGTATCCTTTTCTGCAAATGCAAACCTTTAAGCTGGTTTTACATTTTATGATTTTTCTTCATCATTGCACACAGCTACAGCTTACACTGTACGACAAAACCAAGGGTTTAATAGTTCACAGCTGACGATGTATGTTCTCACACTGTGCGGCCTGACATTCTGATGCGATCTACCTGCTCACATTATATGTATAAAATCACATCAGACTGAGCTCCGAAGTGAGATGGTGATGCTCGGACTCGTCTGTCTGGAAGCCAAACGAGTAGAAGAGGAAAAAAACAGAAGTGTCGAGTCCTCCTGTTAAACATTAAGCTCACTAAAGTGAAACGCCCTGCCTTGGCAATTTGTACAATTTTGTGTGCTGAAAGCCATAAAAAGAAAAGGCAACGACATATTTGGACAAAGACATTGTTGCGCATGCGAACTGAGCGATTTACCCACGACCACCTTATGAAGGCCAACTGAATTTCAAACATGTTTGATTTTCTTCCAACCTTACAACTCAAGATTGGGAGCATGATCAGGCTGAAAGTTGGCCCGATCAAAAAAATTCTTGAACACAGAAGAATCCTGCAAAAAAAATCGTACAGTGTATGCCTGGATTTAGGCATATATGTGTGGTAAGCTACGGTTTCAACCAGTCATTGAAGCTCACCTTTCTCGCAACAGTTCTTTAAAAATGGTGGGGAGTCATAAGAGAAAAAGTGTCTACGAAGTGTATGAGAAGAAAAAAAAAGGCCTAAGAAGAAGGCAGATATATCCTAGAATGATTTGCGCGGAGAGCTCTCCTTGCAAAGCATTTTGGGATTTGCTGTCAAAGCGGCCCACTGTCGCCATAGGCTGTCGCTACACGACAATAACAAAGAAAGCGCAGGCATTGTGTGGAGGAGGAGTTACATGATCAATGGGGAGCAAAAAGTAGTGATCATCTGTCTGAACGGTAAGTTAACTGTGTTTTCTACAAAGTCCACTATATAGTCCCTGCTCAATATAGTGATTGAGGGATTAAGGGGTTAGGGCAGACGTTCAGACACAGTAAACTTGTATCAACAGCAACAGAGCGTGCACAAGGAGAAATTAGCCTTTTTTTTTGCTGTTGCAGGCATTTAATAGGTGTTCCCTCTTGAGAGCGGGTACAGGGTTGTGCATGTGCACATATTTTAAAGAAGGGTGGTATGAAAAAGCAGTCATGGTGACAACACAATTCCTTTTATTCTATATTTTAAGCAGGCACTGCTTATATCCATTACCTTCATAGACACCTTTCTGCTAACTTTGGAAAAGACAGACTGTATGGTATGGGCAGCATGTCACCTGGGCCCCTTTTCTGGGGATGACATCCACTAGATGTACAGATTTTTCCCTAGAGGTATTTTCCTCTTTGCATTAGGAGATGAAAATCCACTACAGTATGTGTTGCACCATTAGAAGTGCGTATTTGGCATTAACAGGATATGAGCATCTTTATAACCTTTCCAATCTTCAGAAGAATGAACTAAAATCCAGAAAGGATTCTAAAATATTTGCTTGTAAAATTAATCTGACTACAGATTACAAAGGAAACGTTGGAACAAGTGAACAATTTTTTTTGTTTTGTTCTTTTTATGATGCAGGTTTGCCTAATGCTATTGGTCTTCTGGACCCCACACAACAGATAGAACTCCCCTCTGGAGCACATGAAGATGTTTTTGTTAACAGAAAACCCCAATGTTGAGGTAAGAGTGAGTTATAATTAGACCTGTCAGATGCATACATTTATTATGTGAAATACTTATCCTATCTAAACACATCTTATTCCTTCCAAACATTCCTTGCTGGATCCCTTCTAAAATGCATCTCAATATGTTTAAGTTAAAGGACAGATTTTCTGCCATTGGAATTCTATGAATAACAGATTGTTGTAAGATATAAAAGTGATAAATCATATTTGCTGTTTGATAGTTTTTAATTACAGATGTACCTTGGATTCAATTCCATATCAGCCACAGTAAAGGCTAAGACCTGAACCACCACAGAGGGAGTGAATAAAACTGTAAGATCTGTGCATTACTATATTGGCCTTTGCTGTTCATATAGAGGTTAATGGTTAATTTAAGAAGAATGACTAGTAAGTCCTTAAATTCTGATGTTTTCAGTTAAGCTGTAGTCAGAAAACATGTATCTTTTGCTATCTGGGTATTTAGTCAATCTGCTGTTTGCTGAATCAATTAATCAGTGATCAAAATCATGGGTTGTCCCTGAACATCCGCCCTAACATAGCGCTATATAGGGGTTTCAGCATTTTATGAGTGTCCCAAAGTCTGGTGGGTGAGAAAGGAGTGGACATAAAATTTCCCACAATGCACCTTGAGAAGTAGTGATCATCCATGGTCACTAAACCAGCAGATATAACCCAGGCTGTGTCTGAACATCAATCCTAACCCTTAAATCCCTCAATCACTACATAGAGCAGGGACTATATAGTGGACTTCATAGTGAAATCAGTTAACTGTTTCTTATAGATGATCACTACTTATCATTTACCTGTTGGTCACGTAACTTTGCCTCCCTGTGTGTCATCGTTTATTATTTGTCGCCGCTGTCAGGCAGTGAGGTCGTAGGCGACAGCAGGCCACTGTAACAACAAATCCCATGATGCTTTGAGAGGAGAGCTGTCCTCGCAGGGTATGCAGGGATTTACCATCCATCCATCACCTCAGAACATATTCTGAATTCTCATTTATCCCACTTTAAATAACAGGGCCCAATAGCTTTTGTTTAAATACTGCTTGTAAGTTATCCATTAATGTCTGAGCTTGTCTTCTGTTCCTACATGGGCTATGCATAATTTCAACCTGGGGAGAAATACTCAGTGTTATGAACTGTGCCCAGTTTTAAGAATTTGAACTCATGATAAAATAAATGCTTCCACCTTAAATAAGAAATCTTCCTATAAAAGCAAATCCATTCCATGTAATCAGTGAAATAGGGCTACATTTCTACAATTTGATTCATATTGTGACAAAATATTCAACAGTGACTCTTTACACCATAATGGGTTGATTAGAAGGGAACATGGCCTGCCTCATGTTAATATGATGCTTACACATCCACAGGAATGACCAGACTCAACCAGATTTGTGTACGCAGACGGCGCTCCGGTTTCAACCAGAAGAATTAGCTCTCAGTAGGGGCCTCACAGCAGTCTGCATTCCTGCCCCCCTTCCCCCAAAACAAACACAGCTACTGGTGAATCCCTGCACAGCCAGCTACATATCATTTCCATTTATCACATACATTTACCCTAAGAAAATTAAAACTTTTATGATACAGATTTAAGTGCTCATTACGGTGACAGAAAGCATGCACCTCTAAACCATGTATTAGACGTAAAGGGCAACAAAACCTCCTCATTGTTTTCCAGCTTTTGGCCAGTCAATGGCTTTATGGCATCCTCCCCCCTTCATTCTTCAGGACTTCAGTCTCCTGAATTGTCCCTGCTTTTATTGTGCTAATCAGCATGGAAGGATGTTGAACTGTGGGGGGAGGAAGATAACTTCTCAGCACCCAATTAAGCAGAGTCCACCACTTTCACTAAATACAAAAAAAAAAAAAAAAAAAAAAAAAATCCCATGGACTATTTCAAATGTTTTTTAAGTGGTAAAAAGAACAAACGACAGGCTGTTTAATGAGATACAAAAAGTTTTAATAAATACTGAGGTAGTTGTATTCAATGACAATGTTACACTTGATCACATTTCTTCTGTTACGTCATGCAGACATTAACAAGTTCACATTAGGTTTGCTGTTTGGAAGCAGCAACAGAGTTGGGATGTTTTCATAAGTCCATGAACGGCAGCAATCGCCTCAATCCTTGTGACTTTGTGGAGTTCCGCCTGTTTTCAGCTGGAGTCACTATGAAGCAGAGAGTAACAGGAAGCGCAGCGCTCCAATCTGGATGGAGCAAAGCCCAAAGCTGGCCGGATCCCCTGCAGGCTCACGCTTTCCGAGCCGTGAAACTGGAGCAGGCGCACCTATAGTGAGCTTTCACATCTCCCAGTAGAAAAGTTTCAAAACAAACCCTCTTATGTGTTCAACACGCCGCTATGACGGTCTGTAGGGGGATGGGAGAAGAGCCCAGCTCACTGCTACAGTTTGTATAGTCCACCAGAACGGAGCTGACAATAACAGCGGTGCCATACTCCAGCTTTGCTTTCTTACAGGGCAGGAAGTCTGGTTCAGCGGTTGCTCTGCCTCGTCTTTTCCGCGTGTGTTGCGGAGGTCCGCTTGAGATGTTCTCCTCATTTTTCCCGCCGCTCTGCTCCTCCCATTCGGCGGCCAGGTGAGGAGGAGACGCGGGACCCTGGAGCTCCTGGGAGCCGCTAGAGTCTGTGGTGACCTCAGCCTCAGAGGGCCGCGGTTCTCCCTGCTCCTCCTCCATGTTTTCAGTCGACGTCTGCGCCGCGTGGTAAATGTCCCGAGCGGATTTCATGACAAGAGTCAAGAGGAGGCTGCGGTGCAGCCGGAGGCCCCCGCGCTGCGCGCGCGAGCTGTACAGTTTCCCCAAAGCCACCACCATGATCCTCTTGGCCTCGACGCTGACCTCCATCCCGCTGCTTGTTTTGAAAGTGGTCCCAGGAAGTAAAGCAATCACTTCAGGCATTCCTCTCTTTCTCCCCACTCGCAGACACAATACGGATTCCACACAGGACAGATACTTATAAGTTCTCCTACGTCACACTCACCGGGCGTCAGAGGCCAGAGCCCCGCCCATCGGCCCTGGAGCAGCTGTGATCTAACTTTAGTTTGTCTGAGAGCTCTTATAGTGTAAATAACAAGACACCAAGACCATAAAAAAAATAAATAAATAACTCAGATGTATAGATTATTTTTTCATCACCATAAAAATAAAAACATATAAGGTATATTTGAAACTAAACGGAGGTAAGAACCAATTGCCATTAAGTAGATATAGACTCATTTGTATTGGATTCAGATGAAAATTCAGATTACAGAAAACCTCAATTAATAAAGTCAAAGACACATTATGATAGACTTTAAAAATTGGTGATATAAATTAATATTAGAATATGCCTAACCTTAATTGTCCCAGAGTGGGGAAATCTGGGTTTATCAGTGGCAAAGCAAATCAGTAATGAAAAATAATATGCATAAAAGTGCATAAAATATGAAAAAATGCAAAAAACTAAAATATTTGTAAACAATAGAATGCACCGAAAAGGAAAAATATAAACAACACATATTTGAAAAAAATAAATGAATTTTCAAATTCATAGATGTTAGATACAAAATCACATTCATGTGTCCTGTGAATGTGGTTCTCTATGTGATTTTTATCTAGAAAATAATGATCAGATCTCTCAGTCCAAATTTTGTGTTTCAATTCCATTATGTTGGGATACAGCAGGTTATGTTTGACTTTAAAAGTTCCACTTGGAAGATTCAAAATCAGCTTTTTGATCTTTAGTGTTCTGAAATAGGTAATTTGTGACATTAATTTAAAATAAAAAATCAGAACTTGAAAAAAGTATAACGTTAACACTCAAAATTATAACGTTGTTTTTACATAATTATGACATTGTTTACATCTTATCTGGAGGGGCAGATACTACCATAATAAAATCAGAGGTAAAATGTTCAAATTAACATCTTTCTGACAGATTAGAAAAAATGTCCAATAGTTTTCGATTACAGATGTTTACTAACCAGATATGGATCATTTGATGTGTCTGTTTTTTTTTTTTTTTTTTTAATCTGTCATTCTCTTTAACAATGTAGTGGAGGTTATCCTATTAAAAACTTTATTTTCTGAAATGTCGTAAATGATAAGAGAGAGATAGGACTCTATTGATCTCACAGTGGAAAAATCCACTAGTGACATCAGCTCTAATAAACAACCGGAGGTGCAAAAGAAGGAAAAGGATCATCAAAGTGTAAACAGAGCGGATGCAGGTTTGGTAAACAAATAAGTAAATACAGGCTCTCATTGTACAGGGTTATTACACAGTAGTTATTATACAAGGTTATTTCAAAGTGGTGTTGTAAAGTTTTTACTTTTTACACAGGTGTATAAAGCTTTCAGTGAAGGAGCTGCTCAGCTATAGTCTGGTCAGACATTGCACCATCGGTTTCTGGTGCATGCAGCTCCAATATCAATATTTAGATATCAGCACCAAGGCCACATTCGGCTGCTGGTAAATTCCAACCTTTGGTACTACAACATAAGATTTTAAAACAAACAGATATGTTATTTTGTCCAGTTTTTTGCAACTCTCATTTTTATTTGTATTTAAATTTAAGATTCTTCAGAAGGCTCTTCAGAATAGATAACATGTTTTGAATGTTTCCACAGACATGTTTTTGTTTTTACATACATGTTTAACAGCACACAAGTGGCTTACTTTTACATGCAACAACAGAAACAGTCAAATCAGTGGAAGGAATTCCTGTCTATAATTAAACCCACTAGCTGCAGGAATAAATGTCATTCTGCTGCTGCAGCTTTCTGACACTCAAGAAGAGGAGCTTTATTATTAGATCAAGCCTCCTTCTGGTCTCACCCATCCCCCAGTGTGCTGCTTCCTTTTGCAGGAAACACAAAAGGGAAGGGAGGGTAGAGGAAGGGGGGTTGGGGTTAACAGACAGATGCCCATATTAGGTACATCCTGCTCTTGTGGGGCCTTGCTGAGGAAAACCCATGACGTGCGTGGGAGCCCTTGTTTCCTGAAGCCATTTAAAGCAACAGTACCAAAGATTCCGCTTCCTTAGGACCATATTTGGGCAAAAAAGTTTATTCCCCAACTTTACAGGAAGATCATTCTCTGGTCTGAGATAAACATTTCACTTGAAGGAATGCATGGAATGTGTTACAACTATGTGTAGTTTTTCTGTTGTGAAATGTTAACGTTTTAAATGTTTTTGTTGGTGAATATTTCGTGAAAATCCACCATTCTTTCTACAGTCTTTTTTTACATGTGTTGCGTGATTGAAAACCCATTTAACTGAGAAAAAGTGTTTGGGTTTAAACAACACGTGAACTCTCCAGATGGGGATCTTTCAATGAATTAAAAAGGTGATTTCGATTGTGTTTTAATAGGTTTAAGCTGCTGTATTACAGCTAATTTTAAGAATTGTTTTAAAAGGACAGTCAATCATGTGCAAACAATATAAAAAGGTGGTAATACTGCTCAGACTGGTCTTGATGGCTGAACTGTCCTCAGGTTCGAGAAAGTGGAAAATAACACAACAGACATTGAAGGATTTTAGCTAGTTGTGCACCAAACCCCAAAGATTCAAGTTGTCTTTCACTGTGGATCATTCAAAAGCATCCCTGAGAATGTCTGGCTCAAATGCTCCATCTGCTGGTCATTATGGTTATGGCTGGGTGTTGAGCGTCTGTCTTCATGCTTAGTTCTAGTGTGAGGGATTGCATTCCAGTCAATGAGTTGATGCAATCAACTGGCTTTCCTTAGATAAAAACTTTGAATCAATTTGACTGCATGATCTGGTGAACTGTTAAGTGCCTTGAGATAACATGTGTTGTTAATTGGTGCTATATAAATAAACTGAATTGAATTGACTATCCAGTGAGTATTGATTCCCCCCTGTCATCTCTCTAGCTCTTTATAATCTGAGGTATGAATAAAAGCCATACATTGGGTGATCAAATAAAGGATTATGCTGGATTTCTACTTGGTGTTTCTACATTGATGAATATTTTCTTTACTTTCAAGCTGAATTTCCTCCTTTTCTTATACTTCTCAGTTTAAAAAAGTAGGGTATAGATGCTTTTTTCACTCAAACAAAAAATCAGTCAGAATTCTCCCTCATTCCTTTCTGTGGTTTCCACATAGGTTAGAACTACTGCACCAGTGTTCTGGCTCTGTTTGTTGTATTTTGGTCAGTATCTGCAAGTTTGTCTACATACGACTAAAATATGAAAAAAAAAAAAAAAAAAAAATAGAATAATAACCGGATAAAAGTCCCGTCTGTATGGTTTCTGGCATGTAACCCTGAAAATAAAAAAACTTTTTTTGTTGTGTTTAAATATCCATCCATCCATCCATCCATCCATCCATCCATCCATCCAT